AAGTTGAAAAAGTGAAAAAGCATAATAGGACCCCTTTAAAACTACTTTTATAATGCTTTCATAGCGTTTTTTTTGTCTTTTTGCTCCATAATATTAAAAAGAGCTGCATGAAGATGTAGAAGAACATCAGGATGAGTAAATAAGGACAGATTGCTTTTTTAAATGAACTGTTCTTTCATCATGAGGCTGTGGACCTGGTAGGTGTTGTTAAGGAAGTGTACAGGGACGCTGAAAGGCAGAGAGTGATGATAAGGGTTCCTGAGTAAGATTGATAGGATCTCCATTCGTGACGATCGTGCTTGCCGATCCCCCTTCTGCTGTGTCCGCTCCAGTGAGCGCTGACAGTAAATGGCATACTTTCCCTCTTCCGTCCTGGGAAAAAAAGCAGAGACTAAGCAACTGTGGGATGTGCTTCCAGGACTCCTAAGACTTCGATTTACCTGGAATCTCCATGCCTTTTGAGATGAAACTGCAAATACCACAGAATAGGGGGTGTGGGCAGGAAAAGGCCGACACACAGAGCCAGGAACTGCCATCCCTGTCACAGAACATGGAAACAAGTCAAGACATCCCCTTGTGGCTTCACTCCCAGGATGAGGAGAAACACAAAACAAAAGCAATCCCTCCCTCTAGTGGTGTGTGTTCAGATCTGACCTGCAGGGGTCCCGGCGGTCCGTACGGCTGCCTCTTCCGTGTCTGTTTGATAAGCTGGCAGTAGATCTCGTTCTGCAGCTCTGGATGGGTGAGACACACTTGTAGAGCACACTGGGCAAGAGTCACGTGATAATCTATGGCTGGAGTGTCAATGGCCACGTTAATGAAGAGCTGACATGTCTGCAAAAAAGAGAAAAGGAGTGTTTCTCCCTGTTTCGGAGAATGAAATGTGTATTGAATGAAGAGTTTAACCTTAAAGAGCTTGATGGCTTCAGTTTGTAGAGCTTGTGAAGGAAGGGTGGTGAGTGGAGACGACAGCCCTTCATTAGTGAAGCAGAGCGTCGGGTGTCCCCAGAGCGGAGACCCTGAGAAACAACGGGACAAACATGGACATTAAATTGTTTTTATGTAGCTACAGTTTAAAAGGGCAGCATGGGGTTGAAGTAAACAAGTTGAGAATAAACTGAATTTATGATGTAATGTTTGCCATGCTTATATTTAATAACATATGTCAAATCAGTCTCAGCCTCAAGCAGCACACCCACACACCACAGTCCTTTCATTTAGAGGTGTTTACCAGCGCACAAATGCTTGGGGGGCAAGATTTGAGGGGCTCCTGCTGGCCATAAGCAACTGAATAAGCACTTTTTTAACGTTACAGTCTTGTTGGCTTATAGTATATGTAATCGCATGAAAATGAAAACAGAAAAAGTTTCTTAAAATTAGTTCTTACAGGGATAGTTCACACAAAAATT